CGAAAAACAGAAGAAGTATTTCACAACGTGCTCGGATGTGCGGACAGGCGAGAGTTTAGATAAGGATACAACGTATAAATCGCATTTTTAATTAAATTGGAGCGCGATTCGACAAAAATTATAAAATATGCGCATATAATATGCATTAGGTGAGGGACGAATGTACACAAACACGGTCGGATGTGAGTAAGAAGATGCAAACATCGAGGTGTAAACATGTACTAGGTTTTCGTAAAAATTTGAAAATATGACGACACCGTGCTTAACCAGTGTGGGAACCAAAAAAATAATGTGATAGGAGAACTGAACTGAACGTTTTTTCGATAACTGGTATCATTTTTCCAGAATCACGCCTTGGAATCTTGTAATTTTTTGGATAATGTTGTATTTTTTAAAAGATAATAAAAATCGACTGACAGACATAAACGGAGACCTATTTCTTCCTACCCTAGGGGTCAACGTCGAAGAATTTTGAGGTCCCTAGTGTTTTCTTTAAGAATTTAAAACAATGTTGGTATCCCTGGTATTTTGTTTTTGAAATAATTGGAAATAATCTTGGGAGTTTCTAGTTCTTTGTGTTGAAACGATTTTAAAAGAGTCTTGGGGGCCGCTAGTATTTTAGTTCCGAAAAATGTGAAAAATTCTTGAAATCCATAGTGTCTTTTTAAGAATTTAAAAGAATGTTAGAAACCCTGATGTTTTTGCAAGAATTTGAAAAAACCTTGGAAACTTCTGGTGTTTCGTTTTGGAACGAATTTCACTTTGAAAATGTAAAACAATTTTGAGACTTTAATAGTGTTTTTGTTTTGAAATAAAATTGAAAGAATATTGGCATTCGTAGTGTTATATTTAAAAATTTAAAGGAATCTTCGGGTCCTTGGGAATTTCGGATATTCCTGAAAACCTCTTGTGTTCTCAATTTGAAAAAAATTGAAAGAATTTTGAGGTCCCTAGTGTTTTTTTTTTTTTTTCAAGAATTTAGAGAAATCTTGGGAGGCAAGAATTTAAAGAATGTCGGAACCTCTGCTGTTTTGCTTTTGAAAGAATTTGAAAGGACCTTGAAACGAATTTGAAAGAATTTTGGAGGCCCCTGGTTTTGACATATTGACAGATCTGATCTCGAGATTCTTTCAAACTACTTTTGAAGTAAAAAATCTCATGGATCCCTTGCGCCTGGTTTCAAAAACTACTTCAAAAATAAAACCCACGGACTCTTCGAGATTTTTTCAAATTATTTCAAAAACAAGACCCACATGAGGTACCCGAGATTCTTTCGAATTACTTCAAAAACCAAGACAAAGGAATCTCAAGATTCTTTCAAACTACTTCAAAAACAAAACAACAGGCGGTCCCGAGATTCTTTCGAAATACTTCATAAACCAGACACAAGGGATCCCCGAGATTCTGTCAAACTACTTCAAAAACCAGACACAAAGGTTCTCCGAGATTCTTTCAAAATACTTGAAAAATAAAACCCACGGATTCCCCGAGATTCTTTCGAATAATTACAAAAACAAGACCCGCATGGAGTCCCCAAGATACTTTCGAACTACATATGTACTTCAAAAACAAAACACAAGGGGTTCCCGAGATTCTTTCAAACTACTTCAAAAACCAAACACAAGGGGTCCCCTAGATTCTTTCGAATTACTTCAACAAACAAGACAACGGAATCTCAAGATTCTTTCAAACTACTTCAAAAACAAAACAACAGACGGCCCCGAGATTCTTTCGAACTACTTCATAAACCAGACACAAGGGATCCCCGAGATTCTATGAAACTATTTCAAAAACCAGACACAAGGGGTCCCCGAGATTCTTTCAAAATACTTCAAAAATAAAACCCACGGATTTCCCGAGATTCTTTCAAACTAATTCATGAACCAGACACAAGGGGTGACCGAGATTCTTTCAAATTACTTCAAAAACCAAGACAAGGGAATCTCAAGATTCTTTCAAACTACTTCAAAAACAAAACAACAAGCGGCCCTGAGATTCTTTCAAAATACTTCATAAACCAGACACAAGGGATCCCCGAGATTCTGTCAAACTACTTCAAAAACCAGACACAAGGGGTCTCCGAGATTCTTTCAAAATACTTCAAAAACCAGACACAAGGGATCCATGAGATTTTTTCCAACTACTTCAAAAATAAAACCTACGGATTTTCCGACATTTTTTCAAATTATTTCAAAAACAAAACAACCTGCGGCCCCGAGATTCCTTCGAACTACTTCATAAATCCGACACAAGGGATCCCCGAAATTCTTTCAAATTACTTCAAAAAACCAAGACAAAGGAATCTCAAGATTCTTTCAAACTATTTCAAAAACAAACAGCAGGCGACCCCGAGATTCTTTCGAAATACTTCATAAACCAGACACAAGGGATCCTCGAGATTCTGTCAAACTACTTCAAAAACCAGACACAAAGGTTCACCGAGATTCTTTCAAATTACTTCAAAAATAAAACCCTCGGATTCCCCGAGATTCTTTCAAATGATTACAAAAACAAGACCCGCATGGAGTCCCCAAGATCCTTTCAAAATACTTTAAAAACAAAACCCACGGATTCCCATAGATTCTTTCAAATTATATCAAAAACAAAACAACAGGCGGCCCCGAGATTCTTTCAAATTACTTCAAAAACCAAGACAATGGAATCTCAAGATTCTTTCAAACTACTTCAAAAACAAAACAACAAGCGGCCCCGAGATTCTTTCAAAATACTTCATAAACCAGACACAAGGGATCTCCGAGATTCTGTCAAACTACTTCAAAAACCAGACACAAGGGGTCCCCGAGATTCTGTCAAAAGACTTCAAAAACCAGACACAACGGTTCCCCGAGATTCTTTCAAAATACTTCAAAAATAAAACCCACGGATTCCCCGACATTCTTTCAAATTATTTCAAAAACAAGACCCGCATGGAGCCCCAAGATCCTTTCAAACTACATATGTACTTCAAAAACAAAACAGAAGGGGTCCCCGAGATTCTTTCGAATTACTTCAACAAACAAGACAAGGGAATCTCAAGACTCTTTCAAACTACTTCAAAAACAAAACAACAGACGGCCTCGAAATTCTTTCGAAATACTTCATAAACCAGACACAAGGGATCCTCGAGATTATGTCAAACTACTTCAAAAACCAGACACAAGAGTTCCACGAGATTCTTTCAAAATACTTCAAAAATATAACCCACGGATTCCCAGAGATTCTTTCAAATGATTACAAAAACAAGACCCGCATGGAGTTCCCAAGATCCATTCAAACTACATATGTACTTCAAAAACCAGACACAAGGGGTCCCCGAGATTCTTTCGAATTACTTCAACAAACAAAACAACAGACGGCCCCGAAATTCTTTAGAACTATTTCATAAACCAGACACAAGGGATCCCCGAGATTCTATAAAACTATTTCAAAAACCAGACACAAGGGGTCCCCGAGATTCTTTCAAAATACTTCAAAAATAAAACCCACGGATTCCCCGAGAATCTTTCAAATTATATCAAAAACAAAACAACAGGCGGCCCCGAGATTCTTTCAAACTAATTCATGAACCAGACACAAGGGGTCCCCGAGATTCTTTCAAATTACTTCAAAAACCAAAACAAAGGAATCTCAAGATTCTTTCAAACTACTTCAAAAACAAAACAACAGGCGACCCCGAGATTCTTTCGAACTACTTCATAAACCAGACACAAGGGATCCCCGAGATTCTGTCAAACTACTTCAAAAACGAGACACAAGGGGTCCCGGAGATTCTTTCGAATTTCTTCAAAAAACAAGACAAGGGAATCTCAAAATTTTTTCAAACTACTTCAAAAACAAAAAAAAAACACGCGGCCCCGAGATTCTTTCGAAATACTTCATAAACCTGACACAAGGAATCCTCGAGATTCTGTCCAACTACTTCAAAAACCAGACACAAAGGTTCTCCGAGATTCTTTCAAAATACTTCAAAAATAAAACCCACGGATTGCCCGAGATTCTTTCAAATTATTTCAAAAACAAGACCCGCATGGAGTCCCCCAGATCCTTTCAAACTACATATGTACTTCAAAAACAAAACACAAGGGGTCCCCGTGATTCTTTCAAATTACTTCAAAAATCAAGACAAAGGAATCTCAAGATTCTTTCAAACTACTTCAAAAACAAAACAACAGGCGGCCCCGAGATTCTTTCGAACTACTTCATAACCCAGACACAAAGGGTCCCTGAGATTCTTTCAAACTACTTCAAAAACCAGACACATGGGATCCATGAGATTTTTTCCAACTACTTCAAAAATAAAACCCACGGACTCTCCGAGATTTTTTCAAATTATTTCAAAAACAAGACCCACATGAGGTCCCCAAGATACTTTCAAATTACATACTTCAAAAACAAAACACAAGGGGTACCCGAAATTCTTTCGAACTACTTCATAAACCAGACACAAGGGATCCCCGAGATTCTGTCAAACTACTTCAAAAACCAGACACAAGGGGTCCCCGAGATTCTTTTAAAATACTTCAAAAATAAAACTCACGGATTCCCCAAAATTCTTTCAAATGATTTCAAAAACAAGACCCGCATGGAGTCCCCAAGATCCTTTCAAACTACATATGTACTTCAAAAACAAAACATAAGGAGTCCCCGAGATTCTTTCGAATTACTTCAAAAAACAAGACAAGGGATTCTCAAGGTTCTTTCAAACTACTTCAAAAACAAAACAAAAGGAACCCCCAAGATTTTTTCAAACCAGACAAGGTGTCCCCGTGATCCATTCAAACTGCATCAAAACCAGACACAAAAAGTCCACGTTGAGCATACATTTTTTCCCGTTGGTTATCTACTTTAAATATATTTCAATTCAACATGACCTGACTTGACTTGAGCTGACCTGACTTGATCTGACCTAACCAGACTTCGTTTAACTGTATTCAAAATAGTTTATTTCTTAACATATAACATACAAAACTGATATTAAACCAAAATGTGTATTCTTCTAGACAAATCTGCGTGGACGACGGACAAGAACTCTCCCTCCACTACGGCTGTCAATTCTACGAAGTCAGCGCGGCCGAAAACTTCGCTGGAGTCTCCTTGGCCTTCCAATCCCTCCTTCGAGAAGCCCGATCCGTCCAACTCCTGAAGGCCCTCCCAATCCGGAGAAAACTGGGAGTCAACAGCGTTTCCAAAGTCTTAGGCAACATATTCGGCAAAAACTCTAAAGGCGATCGCAAGAAGAGACCATCTCTTAGTATATGAACGATTAGCGATAAGAAAATAAATGTAAAAGTTCCTTATTTATTAATTAAGAGCATAGCGCTTTGTTGGTTCATTCTAAAGAAACGATGGCGACAATAACAATGTTATTGTAAAAAGACTGACTTTAGGGAATTTTTAGAGCGTCTAACGCGCGATAAATTGTAAAGCTCGGCTTGTGATATTGGAAAATGTAAAAAGTAGAGATATACAGTAGGATTTAGACGTATCTGGAGGTTTTTGAATTTTACATTGATCTCATAAGTTTGTAAAGCTTTCGAACGAAACGCATATAATGCTAAAGTAAATGTTGCAAATGTATATATTTATATTTTATATTTTTATACTATAATGGTAACGTAGGTAATAAGAATGTCCTACTGAGTGTGTTGTTTTTCTCGCCTGAACATCGAACCTAACCTAATTCTAAATTCTAGTGACTTTTGTAATCAACGCCATTAGGTTGTCCACCAAACTCGAACTGTCAACAGTGTCAAACACCTATTTCAAATACTGTGGTTGAAAATGTAAGGACGCCCCTTTAACGTGCCCCCATAACCCCCTTTTTGCAGGAACACGTCGAAACTGTTCACCACCCTCAAAAGACACTTCTGTAACGTAACCCTACAAGAACTCGCAGTCCAGACCTTCTGCGACATCCAGGTAAACGTACCCTTCAAAGTTAACGTAAAACCCCTTGATGTACACGAGCACCACAATTGCGACCGCTTGAAAATCGAGCTACTTGGGATTAAAAGCGGCCGTGATACCCTCAAACACATACAAGATGGTAACAACATTAAGATTTTTTCGTCGACGGAGGACTACGATGAAAATATCACGTGCAATATTCAAGCCCCGGTCAAAGCTAGTGAGTTGTATGAAGACAGCGTTGTCTACGTTAACTTTAGATTTAAATGTGCAGGCACATGGGGACGTTTGTGCTGGGGCATTCGGCGGCTCGAAATTGGTTCTACAATCGCGCAAAGGCAACATTTTCGTTAATAAGTTTCAAGGTGATTTGTTTAGCGTGACTACTCAGAATGGCGATATTGTGTTGAAGGGGGCTGTCGTGGCGACTGATATTAAAGTGGTAGCTGATATAGGGGTACTCATCAGCGTGTAGTTTGCCTAATAATTGGCTAAATGTTTGTAGAATATTAAAGCTAAAAGACTGCAGGGGTTGGACGCTCTGGTGAAAACTAACGAAGGAAATATCACCGTGGAATCATCCTACTGTGATAAAGGGGTCTTTGAGGGGCGCAACGGCGATTTTAATTTACACAATATACACAAAAATAGCGACGTGTGTGTTAAAAATGGAAACCTGAATCTAAGTGAGTATAAATCTCGACTATTGTGTGATTTTTACGTCCGCTTTAGCTGGTTTGGATGGCCACATTAACGCACAATTGGAGAACGTTAATGCAGACATTCAAATTTCTCGAATTTTGGAAAATTCGAAAATCACTGCAAACAACGGCGATGTCAAGCTTCAGCTATCTGATCACTGCCAAGACAACACAATGTTTGAAATAAAGACAGACAATCACGTTTTAGACCCCAGTATTAGGTTAATTCCTAGTAAAAATGATAAAACTTTGTTTTTAATGCCTCACACTGAACAGTACAAACACCTTCTAGTTGAATCTAATAACGGAAAAGTTTCCATTCATAGTGCGTCGTGGGCAAACATGTTAAAACTGAAATTCAACCAAAACAAAGATTAAAACATTAAATAAATTTATTTGTTTCTTCTTGATTTTTTCCCTTTCTTTTTCTGTTTGTTCTTTTTCTTGTCTGCGATTTTCCGCGCTTTCAGGATTTGATCAGTTGTTTTCAACTCGGATTTTCGTTGCTTCAGTTTGAGTTTCTTGTTGTGTTTAGCCCAATGGGTGTTGGGTTGCGTTTGCAATCTAGACTGACTGGTATTTTCGTTTTCGTCGTCACTTTCGTTGGTTATTTTTGATTTTTCTTTCCATTGCGCGTATCTGTTGCTTTTGTAGGTGGCCGGAATCCACACTCCTGATTCCGTTCTAATTTTCCCAGTCCGCTGATCCTACAATTTCTGGTTTAAAAAAAAAAAACAATAAAAATTGAAGGTCGTACTTGCACTGCCACCATTTTCTTCTTTTTTCTGTCCCATTTCTTCGTCTGCGCGTTCTTCCTCATCGCGTCTTCCGAGTCTAGAGTGAGGTCGAGCTGTACCTTGGTTGCTTCATTTTGGAAATTGTTCACCGCTAAGCTATGAAATTTAAAAGTTCAGAGGAGTTTGGTCACACAGTATTTATTTACCCTTCTTCTGTGTGCCGATCCGCCGGTAAATACGGTATGAAATTGTCATCCCTCAGCTTCTGTTTTTTGTTTTTCTTATACAAGTGTTCCAATTTTCGTTTTTTTGGTAGAATTACCTTCTCGAAAGCGTCATCAATATCTTCGTTCGTACTTATGGCTAAATTGCTTTCACTTTTATTTTGACCTTCCATTTCCGCTTCTTTCCTTTCTTGAGTTTCATGAAACGAACTGATTTTTTCTTTATGGAAGGAGCGTTTTTGCTTCATTGCTAAGTACTCCTGGGATTTGTTTTTGCCACAAATTTCGAAAATCGTCTGAAAACGGGAAATGTATTGTTGGTTGCCTACGTTTAGAACGTACCCCTTGTGGCCGATAGCTCTTCATTTGGTCCAACAAGTTTTCTCTTTCTTCCTCCACATAGTCGTCACGTTTTTTAAATATGGGGTGGGTGCCGCATTTGTCAAACGGCATTTCTTTAACCCTACGATTACTGTCCGAGGAAGCCGCTGGTCTTGATCGTATATATTGTTTATAGGCGTTTTCCGTGACTTTTTTCATGCTTACCTGCGAAAAATTCATAAATACGCCATTTTTAAATCAAAATTGACATTTTGAAAATTTTATTTTGTCGTGTTGGTACGACAAATGTCACATGACGACACTGTTCAAGTTTAATCAATTTTAACAATGTGAAGTTGAAACCATAGATTAATATAGATGCGACATACAGGCTGATTTTGGAAAACCACCCTTATTGACATTGGAATGCTCAAGCGCCAAATTTAAATAGTCGATGCCAATAAAAAAACTTGTTTCACTACAACTCAAATCGTGGAGTCGAAAAGTTGAACAATTGAGAAACCGAAATAGGCCAAAATCGAAAAGTTAAAAATTGAACAATTTATAAATTGAGAAATTGACAATTAAAATTTCGAAAAATCCAAATCTCGATAAATCGAGAATTCAAAAAACTTAAAAATTCGAAAAATTGAAAAATTGAGACATTGAAAAATCCAAAGAACGAGAAATCGAAAAGTAATGAAGTCGAAAAATCGAAAAATTGAGAACGACAAACAAAAAGTTAAAAGTTGAAAAATTGGAAAAGCGAAAAAATCAAAAAACGAAAAAATGGAAAACTAGAAAAACTGAGAAACCGAAATAGGCCAAAATATAAAATTGAAAAACTGATAAATCGAAAACCTGAATAATCAAATCTCGATAAATCGGGAATGAAAAATGAACAAATCGAAAAATTGAAAAACAACATCGAAAACCAGGAAGTCGAAAAATCGAAATATTGAAAAATTAAAATATCAAAAGACTGAAAAATCTAAAATTTAAAAATTGAAAAATCTAAAAACTAAAAAGGCAGACACATTGAAAAATCCAGAAGTCAAAAATAGAAAAGCCGAAGAATTGAAATATTGCAAAATCCTAAAACTGAAAAATCGAAAAATCAAAAAAGTGAAGTCGAAAACAGGAATCTTAAAAAATCGAAAAATTAAAAAATCAAAAACCTGAAAAATAAAAAAATTAAAGAATTGAAGAACAGGAAAATCGAAACACTCGAAGGTCAAGTAGTGGGAAAATGAAAACATTGATTAATTGAAAAATCGAAAAATTGAAAGTTAATGAAAGTCAAATTTGGAAAATTAAAAAATCGAAAATTTGACAAAATGACAATTGAAAAACAGAAAACCTAAAACCGGGAAGTCGAAAAATCAAAAGATTACGAAATCGAAATATTTGAAAAATTCGAAAACTTGAAAAATTGAAATATCAAAGAACTGAAATGAAAAATCGAGAAATAGAAAAATCTAAAATTGTAAAAATTAAAAAATCTAAAATTTAAAAATCGAAAAATTCAAAAATCGAAAAACTAAAAAAATCAACACATCGAAAAATCCAGGAGTCAAAAATCGAAAAGTCGAAGAATCGAAATATTGAAAAATCCCAAAACTGAAATATCGAAAAACTGAAAAATGAAAGAAAAACTAAAAATGGGAAACTAAATCGGGAAATCGAAACATTAAAAAATCGAAAGATTAAGCAATCGAAAAATTGAAAAATCGATAAAGTAAAAAAATTGACATATCGAAAACTCCAGAAGCCAAAAATCGAAAAGTCGAAGAATCGAAATATTGAAAAATCCCAAAACTGAAATATCGAAAAACTGAAAAATTAAAGAAAAACTGAAAAATGGAAAACCTGAAAAATCGAAAACTGAAATATCCAAAAACTGAAAACCTAAAAAGTCGAAATACTGAGCAATCGAAAAATCCAAAAAGTGAAGTCGAAAAATCGAAACGTTAAAAAAAAATAAAAAATAAAAAATCAGAAACGTGAAAAATAAAAAAATTAAAGAATTGAAGAACAGGAAAATCGAAACATTCGAAGGTCAAGTAGTGGGAAAATGAAAACATTGATTAATTGAAAAATCGAAAAATTGAGAGTTAATGAAAGTCAAATTTGGAAAATTAAAAAATCGAAAATTTGACAAAATGACAAATCAGAAACCTGAAAAATCGAAAAATTAAAGCATTGAAGGACAGGAATATCGAAACCCTCGAAAGTCACGAACTGGGAATATCAAAACATCGATTAATTGAAAAATCGAAAAATTGACAGTTTATAAATGTCAAATTTGAAAAATTGAAAAATCGAAAATTTGAAAAAACGACAATTGAAAAACAGAAAACCTAAAACCGGGAAGTCGAAAAATAGATAGTTTAAGAAATCAAAACATTTGAAAATTTTGAAAACTTGAAAAACTGAAATATCGAAGAAATAAAATGAAAAATCGAGAAATCGAAAAATCTAAAATTTTAACTATTGAAAAATTTAAATATCAAAAAACTGAAAAATCTAAAATTTAAAAACCGAAGAATTGAAAAACAGAAAATCTAAAACCGGGAAATCGAAAAATCGAAAGATTAAGAAATCGAAACATTTGAAAAATTGAAATATGGGAGAGCTGAAATGAAAAATCGAGAAATCGAAAAATCTAAAATTTTAAATATTGAAAAATTAAAATACCAAAAAATTGAGAAGTCTAAAATTTAAAAATCGAAAAAGTAAAAAGTCGACACATCGAAAAATCCAGAAGTCAAGAATGGAAAAGTCGAAGAACAGAAATATTGAAAAATCCCAAAACTGAAATATCGAAAAACTGAAAAATGAAAGAAAAACTGACGAATCGAAAAACCGAGAAATCGAAAAATCAAAAGATTAAGAAATCGTGGAGGCGAAAAGTCAAATAATTGAGAAACCGAAATTGACAATTAAAATGTCGAAAAATCCAAATCTCGATAAATCGAGAATTCAAAAAACTTAAAAATTCGAAAAATTGAAAAACTGAGAGATTGAAAGATCCAAAGAACGAGAAATCGAAAAGTGATGAAGTCGAAAAATCGACAAATAGAGAAATCGACAAACAAAAAGTTAAAAGTTGAAAAATTGGAAAAGCGGAAAAATCAAAAAACGAAAAAATGGAAAACTGGAAAAACTGAGAAACCGAAATAGGCCAAAATAAAAAATTGATAAATCGAAAACCTGAATAATCAAATCTCGATAAATCGGGAATGAAAAATTAACAAATCGAAAAATTGAAAAACAGAACATCTAAAACCAGGAAGTCGAAAAATCGAAGGATTAAGAAATATTGAAAAATTAAAATATTATCAAAAGACTGAAAAATCTAAAATTTAAAAATCCAAAAATTGAAAAATCGAAAAAGTAAAAAGGCAGACACATTGAAAAATCCAGAAGTCAAAAATAGAAAAGCCGAAGAATTGAAATATTGAAAAATCCTAAAACTGAAATATCTAAACACTGAAAAATCGAAAAATCAAAAAAGTGAAGTCGAAAACAAGAACCTTAAAAAATCGAAAAATTGAAAAATCAAAAACCTGAAGAATAAAAACATTAAAGAATTGAAAAACAGGAAAATCGAAACACTCGCAGGTCAAGAAATGGGAAAATCAAAACATTGATTTATTGAAAAATCGAAAAATTGAGAGTTAATGAAAGTCAAATTTGGAAAATTAAAAAATCGAAAATTTGACAAAATGACAATTGAAAAACAGAAAATCTAAAACCGGGAAGTCGAAAAATCAAAAGATTAAGAAATCGAAATATTTGAAAAATTGAAATATCGAAGAACTGAAATGAAAATTCGAGAAGTCGAAAAATCTAAAATTTTAAAAATTAAAAAAATCTAAAATTTAAAAATCGAAAAAGTAAAAAAATCGACAAATCGAAAAAGTGAAGTCGAAAACAGGAACCTTAAAAAATCGAAAAATTGAAAAATCAAAAACCTGAAAAATAAAAAAATTAAAGAATTGAAGAACAGGAAAATCGAAACACTCGCAGGTAAAGAAATGGGAAAATCAAAACATCGATAAATTTAAAAATCGAAAAATTGAGAGTTTATAAAAGTCAAATTTGAAAAATTAAAAAATCGAAAATTTGACAAAATGACAATGAAAAACTGAAAATCTAAAACCGGGAAGTCGAAAAATCAAAAGATTAAGAAATCGAAATATTTGAAAAATTGAAATATCGAAGAACTGAAATGAAAAATCGAGAAATCGAAAAATCTAAAATTTTAAAAATTAAAAGAATCTAAAATTTAAATATCGAAAAAGTAAAAAAATCGACACATCGAAAAATCCAGGAGTCAAAAATCGAAAAGTCGAAGAATCGAAATATTGAAAAATCCTAAAACTGAAATATCGAAAAACTGAAAAATGAAAGAAAAACTAAAAAATGGAAAACCTGAAAAATCCGAAAACTGAAATATCCAAAAGCTGAGAACCTAAAAAGTCGAAAAACTGAGCAATCGAAAAATCCAAAAAGTGAAGTCGAAAAATCGAAACGTTAAAAAAATAAAAAATAAAAAATCAGAAACCTGAAAAATCGAAAAATTAAAGAATTGAAGAACAGGAATATCGAAACCTTCGAAAGTCACGAACTGGGAATATCAAAACATCGATTAATTGAAAAATCGAAAAATGGACAGTTTATAAATGTCAAATTTGAAAAATTGAAAAATCGAAAATTTGAAAAAACGACAATTGAAAAACAGAAAACCTAAAACCGGGAAGTCGAAAAATAGATAGTTTAAGAAATCAAAACATTTGAAAATTTTGAAAACTTGAAAAACTGAAATATCGAACAAATGAAATGAAAAATCGAGAAATCGAAAAATCTAAAATTTTAACCATTGAAAAATTAAAATATCAAAAAACTGAAAAATCTAAAATTTAAAAACCGAAGAATTGAAAAACAGAAAATCTAAAACCGGGAAACCGAAAAATCGAAAGATTAAGAAATCGAAACATTTGAAAAATTGAAATATGGGAGAGCTGAAATGAAAAATCGAGAAATCGAAAAATCTAAAATTTTAAATATTGAAAAATTAAAATACCAAAAAATTGAGAAGTCTAAAATTTAAAAATCGAAAAAATAAAAAGTCGACACATCGAAAAATCCAAAAGTCAAGAATGGAAAAGTCGAAGAACAGAAATATTGAAAAATCGCAAAACTGAAATATCTAAAAACTGAAAAATCGAAAAATCAAAAAAGTGAAGTCGAAAACAGGAACCTTAAAAAATCGAAAAATTGAAAAATCAAAAACCTGAAAAATAAAAAAATTAAAGAATTGAAGAACAGGAAAATCGAAACACTCGCAGGTCAAGATATGGGAAAATCAAAACATCGATAAATTTAAAAATCGAAAAATTGAGAGTTTATAAAAGTCAAATTTGAAAAATTAAAAAATCGAAAATTTGACAAAATGACAATTGAAAAACAGAAAATCTAAAACCGGGAAGTCGAAAAATCAAAAGATTAAGAAATCGAAATATTTGAAAAAAAATTGAAATATCGAAAAACTGAAATGAAAAATCGAGAAATCGAAAAATCTAAAATTTTAAAAATTAAAAAAATCCAAAATTTAAATATCGAAAAAGTAAAAAAATCGACACATCGAAAAATCCAGGAGTCAAAAATCGAAAAGTCCAAGAATCGAAATATTGAACAATCCCAAAACTGAACAATCCCAAAACTGAAATATCGAAAAACTGAAAAATGAAAGAAAAACTAAAAATGGAAAACTAAATCAGGAAACCGAAACATTAAAAAATCGAAAAATTTAAAACGACAATTGAAAACAGAAAATCTAAAACCGGGAAGTCGAAAAATAGATAGTTTAAGAAATCAAAACATTTGAAAATTTTTAAAACTTGAAAAACTGAAATATCAAAGAAATGAAATGAAAAATCGAGAAATCGAAAAATCTAAAATTTTAAACATTGAAAAATTAAAATATCAAAAAATTGAAAAATCTAAAATTTAAAAACAGAAGAATTGAAAAACAGAAACTCTAAAACCGGGAAATCCAAAAATCGAAAGATTAAGAAATCGGAACATTTGAAAAATTGAAATATGGGAGGGCTGAAATGAAAACTCGAGAAATCGAAAAATCTAAAATTTTAAATATTGAAAAATTAAAATACCAAAAAATTGAGAAGTTTAAAATTTAAAAATCGAAAAAGTAAAAAGTCGACACATCGAAAAATCCAGAAGTCAAGAATGGAAAAGTCGAAGAACAGAAATATTGAAAAATCCCAAAACTGAAATATCTAAAAACTGAAAAATCGAAAAATCAAAAAAGTGAAGTCGAAAACAGGAACCTTAAAAAATCGAAAAATTGAAAAATCAAAAACCTGAAAAATAAAAAAATTAAAGAATTGAAGAACAGGAAAATCGAAACACTCGCAGGTCAAGATATGGGAAAATCAAAACATCGATAAATTTAAAAATCGAAAAATTGAGAGTTTATAAAAGTCAAATTTGAAAAATTAAAAAATCGAAAATTTGACAAAATGACAATTGAAAAACAGAAAATCTAAAACCGGGAAGTCGAAAAATCAAAAGATTAAGAAATCGAAATATTTGAAAAAAAATTGAAATATCGAAAAACTGAAATGAAAAATCGAAAAATCTAAAATTTTAAAAATTAAAAAAATCCAAAATTTAAATATCGAAAAAGTAAAAAAATCGACACATCGAAAAATCCAGGAGTCAAAAATCGAAAAGTTGAAGAATCGAAATATTGAACAATCCCAAAACTGAAATATCGAAAAACTGAAAAATGAAAGAAAAACTAAAAATGGAAAACTAAATCAGGAAATCGAAACATTAAAAAATCGAAAAATTTGAAACAACAATTGAAAACAGAAAATCTAAAACCGGGAAGTCGAAAAATCGAAAGATTAAGCAATCGAAAAATTGAAAAATTGAAAAAGTAAAAAAAACACGTCGAAAAGTCCAGAAGCCAAAAATCGAAAAGTCGAAGAATCGAAATATTGAAAAATCCTAAAACTTCAATATCGAAAAACTGAAAAATGGAAAGCCTGAAAAATCCGAAAACTGAAATATCCAAAAACTGAGAACCCAAAAGTCGAAAAACTGAGCAATCGAAAAATCCAAAAAGTGAAGTCGAAAAATCGAAACGTTAAAAAAACTAAAAAATAAAAAATCAGAAACCTGAAAAATCGAAAAATTAAAGAATTGAAGAACAGGAATATCGAAACCCTCGAAAGTCACGAACTGGGAATATCAAAACATCGATTAATTGAAAAATCGAAAAATTGACAGTTTATAAATGTCACATTTGAAAATTTGAAAAATCGAAAATTTGAAAAAACCACAATTGAAAAACAGAAAATCTAAAACCGGGAAGTCGAAAAATAGATAGTTTAAGAAATCAAAACATTTGAAAATTTTGAAAACTTGAAAAACTGAAATATCAAAGAAAGAAATGAAAAATCGACAAATCGAAAAATCTAAAATTTTAAACACTGAAAAATTAAAATATCAAAAAACTGAAAAATCTAAAATTTAAAAACCGAAGAACTGAAAAACAGAAAATCTAAAACCGGGAAATCGAAAAATCGAAAGATTAAGAAATCGAAACATTTGAAAAATTGAAATATGGGAGAGCTGAAATGAAAACTCGAGAAATCGAAAAATCTAAAATTTTAAATATTGAAAAATTAAAATACCAAAAAATTGAGAAGTCCAAAATTTAAAAATCGAAAAAGTAAAAAGTCGACACATCGAAAAATCCAGAAGTCAAGAATGGAAAAGTCGAAGAACAGAAATATTGAAAAATCCCAAAACTGAAATATCGAAAAACTGAAAAATGAATGAAAAACTGACGAATCGAAAAACCGAGAAATCGTGGAGTCGAAAAGTCAAATAATTGAGAAACCGAAATAGGCCAAAATCGAAAAATCAAAAAGTTAAAAACTGAACAATTTATAAATTGAGAAATTGACAATTAAAATGTCGAAAAATCCAAATCTCGATAAGTCGAGAATTCAAAAAACTTAAAAATTCGAAAAATTGAAAAACTGAGAGACTGAAAGATCCAAAGAAGGAGAAATCGAAAATTGATGAAGTCGAAAAATCGACAAATAGAGAAATCGACAAACAAAAAGTTAAAAGTTGAAAAATTGGAAAAGCGGAAAAATCAAAAAACGAAAAAATGGAAAAACTGAGAAACCGAAATAGGCCAAAATAAAAAATTGATAAATCGAAAACCTGAACAATCAAATCTCGATAAATCGGGAATGAAAAATTAACAAATCGAAAAATTGAAAAACAACATCGAAAACCAGGAAGTCGAAAAATCGAAAGATTAAGAAATATTGAAAAATTGAAAAAGTAAAAAGGCAGACACATTGAAAAATCCAGAAGTCAAAAATAGAAAAGCCGAAGAATCGAAATATTGAAAAATTCCAAAACTGAAATATCGAAAAACTGAAAAATGAAAGAAAAACTGACGAATCGAAAAACTGAAATATCCAAAACTGAGAATCTAATGAACCGGAAAAACTGAGAATAAAAAAAGTGAAGTCGAAATATCGAAACCTTAAAAAAATCGAAAAATTGAAAAATCAAAAACCTGAAAATTAAAAAAATTAAAGAATTGAAGAACAGGAAAATCGAAACACTCGAAGGTCAAGTAGTGGGAAAATGAAAACATTGATTAATTTAAAAAATCGAAAAATTGAGAGTTAATGAAAGTCAAATTTGGAAAATTAAAAAATCGAAAATTTGACAAAATGACTATTGAAAAACAGAAAATCTAAAACCGGGAAGTCGAAAAATCAAAAGATTAAGAAATCGAAATATTTGAAAAACTGAAATATCCAAAAACTGAGAATCTAATGAACCGAAAAACTAACAATAAAAAAAGTGAAGTCGAAATATCGAAACCGTAAAAAAATCGAAAAATTGAATAATAAGTAAACTGAAAAATCTCAAAACTGAAATGTCCAAAAACTGAGAAATTAAAAAATTGAAAAATTGAGAAATCGAAAAATCAAAAAAGTGAAGTTGAAAAATCGAAACCTGAAAAAATTGAAAAACCAAAAAACCTGAAAAATCAATTAATTGAAAAATCGACAAATACAGAGTTTATAAAAGTCAAAAATTGAAAAATCGAAATATTTAAAAATCGTAAAATTGAAGAGAAAAACTGAAAACCGAGAAATTGTAAAATCCAAGCAGCTTGTAATATTCTGGTAAATCTAGTGTCAATTTGTCGAAAGTTGAGTGTAGTTAATTTTATGCCTAGTTAGAAACAAACACTGTTACCAACATAAGTCGAGGAGTCCTCAACCGTCATTTAATTTAAACTATGACGCTTCTCTATGTTCTCTGTTGAAACCGTCTTACGCCCCCCACACACGGCAAATCCCCCAAAACATCACCCACAATTTATGCCGAATTATTTTAATTGAGTCGATAGTGACATTTGTTACCAATCTCGGAAACATAAATTACCAGATCGACGTAATTTTCGTGCAACGTCAACAAGGCCTCATGCTGCTCCTCCAGCAACCCTTGGGGTATCTTCCCCACGGATCCCTCGCCGTTTTTCGTGACGATGGCCAGAGGTCGCCCCAAAAACAAATGCAAATCGAGCAAGTGCGCATGCTCGTCTGGTGACACCAACGAGAAAGCGGTCCCCGAGCGCCCGGCTCGGGCACATCGGCCCACCCTGTGCACGAACAACTTGGATTTGGCCGGGAAATTATAATTGATGACGTTGTCTAATTGGGGGATGTCGATACCCCGAGCCGCCACGTCTGTCACCACCAGAACTTTGACTTTTCCGGTTGAGAATTTAGCAGCATTGATTTTGCGAGCAGAAGGGTCCAGGTTTGAGTAGATATAGGTGTTACTTATACCCACACGGTCTAAAACCTACAACAAATAATTACAATTCCAAGTTTGTTAATTTCGTTCGTAAGCTAACCCACCATGTGAAGATACTCCACGTGGTGTCTAGTGGCCGCAAAAATTATAGTCTGTTGTTGACTGTCAATGTAGTCTTTTAGTAGAACGAGTAGAGCGGCGACTCGTTCCTCTGGTCGCACTGTGACATACCACAACTGCAATTCTTCAGGGATTTTTGACTCGACGTCCAATCTCAGCAACACTGGGTCATTTAACCCAGCTTTGGCAAACTCTACTAACACTTTCGGTAACGTGGCTGAAAACAACACCGTTTGTCGCGAATCCGGTAACCTATTAACAATCTCGCTCAACTGCTCCCCCAGCCCCATTTCAAACAAACGATCGGCCTCATCAAACACCACATACTCCAAACTGGTCAATTTCAGCTCCATTTCAATACACACGTGCAAAAATCGGCCCGGCGTGGCCACAATAATATCCGGATTGCCATGAATCGCCGAAAATTGATCATCCATGGAGTCCCCCCCTAGAATCACCGCCGACTTCAACCCCATGAAGCGCCCCAACTCCTTGATAAATTTCAAAGTCTGTAGAGCCAATTCTCGCGTTGGGGACAATATAAGAGCGCGAGCGCCCGCTTTGGCGCTTCGCATTTTCAGTTTCTCGAACATGGGGATGAGAAAACATGCGGTTTTGCCGCTGCCGGTGCGTGCCATAGCTACAACATCCCTGCCTTCAAGGACAAGGGGGATGGTCTACAAATTGAGGTTAGGTTTGTTTTGAACTAATTGCGACTTACTTTTCTTTGAATGGGGGTAGGCTGCTGGTAGCCGCGTTTCGTAACACCTTTGATGACATTGAAACTGAGCCCCATGGACTGGAAACCGCCGCTTTTTTTCGAGGTTTTCTTCTTGGGTTTTTCTTCGGGGGTGTCGATTTCGACGGCTTCGTTGGGGTTGGCGAAACCCGGGAGAGAAGCCATTTTGGGGTTTTAATTATAACACAAAAACACAGTCGAAATAAGAAACGGGTTTTCAGGTTATGTCAGGTGTTGACAGATTACAACGTGGGTTTAAGATTTAGTGACTTTTGTTGGGTTAGGTTGGTGAAAGAAAATTAAATGTTTTTATTCGAAAAAATAGGCAATTTTAAATGCGATACTGCAGTGCTAGAAGTACAAAATTCGAAACAGAGCTAACCAGGATGAACATCGTCGTACAGTCGATTTTAAAAAACCCAGCAGCTGAAAAAACAGGTGATTTGTTGGTGGTCACACCTGTCAAAAGAATGACGTCTTGTTCTAGTGCATTGTGATTGGTTAAAGGTTTAAGAGGGAAATGTAGCAACATTTCGAAACTGATGAAAGCGGCACGTTGCAGTTCGTCTTGCACCCTTTTGCAAGAAAGAGACACAACGAAACCGAAACTCTAAAAACACATATTAATTATATTTAATAAAGCATAGATATTGTACATACCAGAAAAGAAAAGCTTCCCCATAAGTTTGTAACAAATATTATAACGTCAACGTCTCTAGTATTGTCTACTATTTTCGCGTATGAATATATAGAAAACACGACGACTTTGACCAGCAAGGTTAAAACCACTGCAAAGACACACATAATTTGAAATCCGAACATGTCGTCCACTAGGAATACAAGATCACAAAGGTCGCTGTAGTTTTTCAAAAGAAATTTCACATTTATGTTAAGAGCGACAACACTTTTTAGAAACTTGTTTCTGACTGTCTTATATGTGACTATAAAAGTTCGTAGTTGCTGTAACTTTAGGTTCAAAAATTTGCACCTAAGAAAAATGTCAATCACATAGGTGTTGTAATGAAGAATTATAATCACTGTCAAGTAAATATTGAAGTATACAGTCAACGGGAACTTCATTCTTTTTATCATTACGGCAATGAGCACTTCCATTCCGACAAAAACAAAAATAAAAATATGGAAACAATAAAAAATTATCTTGTAAACATTTGTTACTTTGGGTTTAAAAGTTGAATCTAGTTTTGCAAAAATGTCACAAATATTTATAGCTTGTTGTCTTTTCGTAAAATTCAAAGCTATGAGAGTGGCGATTGAACACACTGAAGAAAAATAAATCATTAGAGTGTCGAGAAATGATAGAAAATTCCACACTGCGAAGACTGTGTTGTATAATAAAATTGCCACCACTATAGAACAAATTAAATAAGATCGTCATTTTCGCCTACGATCAGGAATCATAGCAAAAAAACTGAGCAACTTGTATAATGGTAAATAATGAAAATCATATTTTGGTGCACACATACTTGACACAGTGACAGTGACAAAATTGTATTTCCTTAAGTGTAGTAATCGTTTAAATGGGTTTTTATGTTAATTTAATGAGTCGGATCGATATTTCTAATTTTAGATAGCTTTAAGTTTTTTCGTTGTCATTTATTATTTCTTTAAACGTAAACACAGGTGATTTCATTAATTGGTTTCATCTGCCATGATAGTTATGTCGTTTTTAAGTTTTTCTAGTTTTCAATTTCTCGATTTTTTGACTTTTCGATATATCGAGTTTTTCAATTATTCAATTTTTCGATTTTCTTGTTTTTCAATTTTTTGAATTTCTAAATTGTCGATTTTCAATTTTTTGATTTATCGATTTTTCGAATTTTCGATTTCTTCATTTTTCGACTTTTCGATGTTTCGATTTCTTGATTTTTCAGTTTTTCAATTCTTCAATTTTTCGCTTTTCCTAGTTTTCAATTTTTCGAAATTTTAAATTTTCGGCTTTCCATTTTTCGATTTTTTAATTTTTTGATTTTTCAGAATTTTTGATGTTTTAATTTTTCGATATTGAAAGTTTGGATTTTTCAATTTTTGGCCTTTCCAAGTTTTTGATTTGTTGATTTTTCGAGTTTTAGATTTCTAAATTTTTCAGCTTTTCGATGATTGATTTTCCTATTTCCCCATTTCTTGATTTTTCAAATTTCGATTTTTCAGTTTTTCAATTCTACAATTTTTCGATTTTCCTATTTTTCAGTTTACGGATTTTCCTATTCAATTTTTTGATTGTTCAGTTTTTTGATAATTTTAATTTTTCGTTGTTGTAAAATTAAAATTTTTCAAAATTTTGATTCTTCGATTTTTCGATTCCTCATTTTTTCCATTTTTCAAATTTTTCATTTTTGTCGTTTTTAAGGTTTTCACTTGTCGATTTTTCTAGTTTTCAATTTCTCGATTTTTTGACTTTTCGATATTTCGAGTTTTTCAATTATTCAATTTTTAGATTTTCTTGCTTTTCAATTTTTTGAATTTCCAAATTTTCGACTTTCAATTTTTTGATTTGTCGATTTTTCAAGTTTTCGATTTCCTCATTTTTCGACTTCTCGATGTTTCGATTTCTCGATTTTTCAGTTTTTCAATTCTTCAATTTTTCGCTTTTCCTAGTTTTCAATTTTTCGAAATTTTAAATTTTCGTCTTTCTATTTTTCGATTTTAAATCAGATTTTTTCATGTTTCAGTTATCGATTTTTCAATCCTTCGATAATTGATAAATCAATTTTTGGTTGTTTCGATGTTTCGAGTTCTCGATTTTAAAATTTTCAATTTTTCGATTTTTAAAATTTTTGAATCTTCGATTTTTCAATTTTTTAACGTTTCGATTATCCGACTTATCGAGATTTCTATGTTCGGATTTTTCGATTTTTCAATTTTTCGAATTTTTCATTTTTGACTTTCCATTTTTCGATTTAAATTTTATAGTTTTTAGATTTTTTGCTGTTTTAATTTCTCGATATTTCAATTTTTTTATTCCTATATGGTAAACACAAAAATCATTTCTCGATTTTCCGATATTATTTCATTTTTACGATATTTCGATTTTTCAGTTTTTCAATTTTACGATATTCCTATTTTTCAATTTTTCGAATTTTTAAATTTTCGACTTTCTATTTTTCGATTTTTTAATTTTTTGATTCTTCAGAATTTTTGATGTTTTAATTTTTCGATATTGAAAGTTTGGATTTTTCAATTTTTGGCTTTCCAAGTTTTTGATTTGTTGATTTTTCGAGTTTTAGATTTCTAAATTTTTCAGCTTTTCGATGATTGATTTTCCTATTTCCCCATTTCTCGATTTTTCAAATTTCGGTTTTTCAGTTTTTCAATTCTTCAATTTTTCGATTTTCCTATTTTTCAGTTTACCGATTTTCCTATTCAATTTTTTGATTGTTCAGTTTTTTGATAATTTTAATTTTTCGTTATTTTAAATTTCAAATTTTTCAAAATTTTGATTCTTCGATTTTTCGATTCCTCATTTTTTCCATTTTTCAAATTTTTCATTTTTGTCGTTTTTAAGTTTGTCATTTGTCGGTTTTTCTAGTTTTCAATTTCTCGATTTTTTGACTTTTCGATATTTCGAGTTTTTCAATTATTCAATTTTTCGATTTTCTTGCTTTTCAATTTTTTGAATTTCTAAATTGTCGACTTTCAATTTTTTGATTTGTCGATTTTTTTAGTTTTCGATTTCTTCATTTTTCGACTTTTCGATGTTTCGATTTCTCGATTTTTCAGTTTTTCAATTCTTCAATTTTTCGCTTTTCCTAGTTTTCAATTTTTCGAAACTTTAAATTTTCGACTTTCTATTTTTCGATTTTAAATTAAATTTTTTGATGTTTCAATTCTCGATTTTTCAATTTTCTAATTCCTCATTTTTTCATTTTTCAAATATTTCTTTTTTGGCCTTTCCAAGTTTTTGATTTGTCGATTTTTCAATTTTCGATTTGGCGGGTTTTCGATTTTTCGGTGTTTCGATTTTTCAATTTTTTGATTTTTTAGTTTTTTGATATTTTAGTTTTTCGACATTTTAAATGTCAGATTTTTCGAGTTCTCCATTTTAAAATGTTTAAATTTCCGATTTTAAAAATTTTTCAATTTTAGATTTTTCAATTTTTCGATTAATCGAGACTTCGATGTTTCGATTTTTCAATTTTTTGTATTTTACATTCATCAGGCTTTAATTTTTTGTTTAAGTGATTTTCCGATTTCTCGAATTCTCGATTTTTTCGTATTTTGATTTCTTGATGTTGACTCGATTTTCGTGGTTTTTTTATTTTTCGGCTTTTTGTATTTTTCAATTTTTCAATTTTCCTAGTTTTCAACTTTTCGAAGTTTTAAATTTTCGACTTTACATTTTTCGATTTTAAACTTGATTTTTTGATGTTTAAATCCTGGATTTTTCAATTTTTTGATTTTTTATTTTTTTGATATTTTAATTTTTCGATATTTTAAATGTCAGATTTTTCAATCCTTTGATTTTTATATTTTTCAATTGATTGGTTGTTTCGATTTCTCAATCTTTCGATTTTTCGAGTTCTCGATTTTAAAATGTTCAATTTTTCGATTTTTCAATTTTTTGATTTTCGATTTTTTTGATGTTTCGATTTCTCGATTTTTCAATTTTTCGATTAATCGAGATTTAGATTTTTTAAATTGTACATTTTTCAAGTTTTAATTTTTTGTTTGAGCGATTTCGATTTCTCGAATTCTCGATTTTTTCATATTTCGATTTCTTGATGTTGACTCAATTTTTCGATTTGGCGGGTTTTCGATTTTTCGGTGTTTCGATTTTTCAATTTTTTGATTTTTTAGTTTTTTGATATTTTAGTTTTTCCATATTTTAAATGCAAGATTTTTCGAGTTCTCCATTTTAAAATGTTTAAATTTCCGATTTTTATAATTTTTCAATTTTAGATTTTTCAATTTTTCGATTAATCGAGACTTCGATGTTTCGATTTTTCAATTTTTTGTATTTTACATTTATCAGGCTTTAATTTTTTGTTTAACCGATTTTTCGATTTCTCGAATTCTCGATTTTTTCGTATTTCGATTTCTTGATGTTGACTCGATTTTCGTGGTTTTTTGATTTTTCGGCTTTTTGTATTTTTCAATTTTTCAATTTTCCTAGTTTTCAATTTTTCGAAGTTTTAAATTTTCGACTTTTCATTTTTCGATTTTAAACTTGAATTTTTGATGTTTAAATCCTGGATTTTTCATTTTTGTCGTTTTTAAGGTTTTCATTTGTCGATTTTTCTAGTTTTCAATTTCTCGATTTTTTGACTTTTCGATATTTCGAGTTTTTCAATTATTCAATTTTTCGATTGATTTTTTCATGTTTCAATTCTCGATTTTTCAATTTTTTAATTTTTTAAATTTCTCGATTTTTCAATCCTTCGATAAATTGATAAATCAATTTTAGGTTGTTTCGATTTTTCGAGTTCTCGATTTTAAAATGTTCAATTTTTCGAGTTCTCGATTTTAAAATGTTCAATTTTTCGATTTTTAAAATTTTTGAATGTTCGATTTTTCATTTTTTTAACGTTTCGATTTCCCGATTTATCGAGATTTCGATGCTCCGGTTTTTCGATTTTTTAATTTTTCGAATTTTTACATTTTCGACTTTCCATTTTTCGACTTAAATTTTATAATTTTTAGATTTTTTGCTGTTTCAATTTCTCGATATTTCAATTTTTTGATTCCGCACTGTTTCCATTTTTCAAATATTTCGTTTTTGGCCTTTCCAAGTTTCTGATTAGTCGATTTTTCAAGGTTTCGATTGCTCAGTTTTTCAGCTTTTCGATGTTTGATTTTTCAATTTGTTGACTTTTCGATTTTTCCATTTGTTCAGTTTTTCGAATTTTTTGATGTTTCAGTTTCCAGATTATCAAATTTTTTGATTGTTCAGTTTTTGTGATATTTTAATTTTTCGATATTTTAAATTTTAGATTTTTCAATTTTTTGATTCTTCAAATTTTTCAATTTTGGCGTTTCTAAATTTTCGATTTGTCAGTTTTTCGATTTCTTTTTAATGTTTCGATTTTTCAGTTATTCAATTTTTCGATTTTCTTACTTTTCAATTTTTTGAATATTTAAATTTTCGGTTTTCCATTTTTTGATTTATCGATTTTGCGAGTTTTCGGTTTCTCCATTTTTCGATTTTTCGATTTTCCTAGTTTTCAATTGTTCGAAGTTTTAAATTTTCGACTTTACATTTTTCGATTTTAAACTTGATTTTTTTGATGTTTAATAAATCCTGGATTTTTCAATTTTTTGATATATTAATTTTTCGATATTTTTAATGTCAAATTTTTCAATCCTTTGATTTCTCGATTTTTCAATTTTCCAATTTTTCGTATTTCGATTTCTTGATGTTGACTCGATTTTCGCGGTTTTTCGATTTTTCGGCTTTTTGTATTTTTCGATTTTGATATTTTTTGGTGTTTCGATTTTCCGCTTTTTCTACATTTCAGTTTTGGAATTTTTTTGATTTCCAGTTTTTCGATTTCTTAGGTTTTACGTTTTTTGATTTTTTTTATTTTCAATTTTTGGCCTCCCTAAGTTTACAATTTTTCTATTTCACGATTTTTCAAATTTCGATTTCTCGATTTCGGTTTTAGGGTTTTTCACTTTTTTTGTTCTTCAATTAATCAATTGCTCACTTTTTTCCAGTTTTCAAATTTTTGGAAAAAGGAGCGCCCTCTGTCGCTTTACTTCCTGAAACAAAACTGTCAACAATGTCAACTACAAATATTGTAAATTACCGCCAAATTCAAATATTTCCACTCCTGTCAACGTAAATTTTGAGGTTATAACGACACAACATGAACGAGACAGTAGTAACTCTAGAAATTCAAGGAACCCCAATACAGTGCAGTCGTACTGACCTTATCCAAAACAGCGACTACTTTAAAGCAATGTTTGAAGGCAACTTCATCGAAAGCGAAAAAAAAGTGATAACTTTAAACGTAATGCGTGACGTTGTTGCTTCACTCTCTAACAATTTACTTATAGGAAGTGGAGCCTGAGGCAATGAAGACAATTTTAAAACTCCTGTGGGACAAAGAACACGTAATCAGCGAACGAAATATCCTTTCGGTTCTACAAGCCGCTTGTATGCTGCAATTTTTACAAGTTAAAGAAACCTGCATTGAACAAGTCGAGCGCTCTTTATCAGTCAACAATTGCTTGAAAATTTGGGTGCACACGGAGCACCTAGTTCTAAAAAACGTGTACTGCAAAGCGAAACTGTTGGCTTTAATGGAGTTTGAACTGGTTAAAAAGACAGATTATTTTTTTGAATTGACGCTCGATGAAGTTGTTAATTATTTAGGGAACGTTAATCTTCAGTGTTTGAGTGAATTTGATGTCTGGGAGACCGTTGTTACGTGGTATGAAAATTTAGAAGAACAGAAAGCAGAAGTGTGGTTGAAACTGCTGCCTTGTATTAATTTCACAGCAGTTACAATTGATCAAATTGATGACATGATTTCTAGTCGATGTGTGGCTAAACACGACTTCGTTTGTAGCGTTTTAAGGTGTGTCATTGCGGTTAAAAAAAGTGACGATTTGTATAATTTCAGTGAAAAGTGTGTAAATTACGCCAAAATGCTGCTTTTATCTAAAGAGAGAAATTCACTTGGGTTTCCATGTATTTTATTGGATAACGTTCAACCCAAACCAATTCAGTCAACTGTGTATTATTATGGTGAGTGGGTGTTTGTAGACAACGTAAATCTTAACCCTCTGTAGACAAATTTAAGCGTAAACGGAAATATGGAGTCTTGGAGAATAACCCTCATAGTGACTTTTTTGTCGTTTATGTTGGTAAAAAAATTTAAGTTGGTACTAGTTTAAAAATTGTCACAACTGTATTTTAGATGTTGCTACCCATTCCCTGAGACTCTTATTTGACATAGAACCCGACAATTTCGTTGGTTTGGACGGTTTCGCCGCCACAGGTTACAAAAATTTCGTTTTTTTATATGGAGGTGAGTACGTACTAGGAAAAGGAAAATGGAACTACGATTTTCACATTTACGATATCGTAAGCGCGAAATGGAAAACGAAAAAGTTGCCGTTTCCCAGACGCCATTTTGAGTCTTGTGTTTGTGGACATCATTTATACGTGGTTGGCGGCACTGGGCCTTTTAGGGTGATCCAAGAAAATTTATTTTACTATGATATACAAAAAGGTAACTAGGTTTGGGGTTTAGTACATTTACTACTCGTTCGTTTAGAGGAATGGAGCAAAGAAATCAAACTACCGTGTTCTGGAAGACAAATCAAGTGTTGCGCGTTCGATAATAAATTATTCATTCTTGACATCAATAATAAGTGCGTTTACCAGTTCAACCACGACAGCGAAAAGTGGAATAAACTGGAAATCTGTGACAGCGAAAATCGTCTTCCGTTTTTCTCGAAGAACTTGCAATTTTTTGGGTGTAAGAGTAGGCTGTGCATTAAAGGTAAGTGGGGTGGCAGCACTGGCATACATTAATTTCCGCACCCGTGTCGACCAATCACAACGAAGTACATCGGCGCTAAATTCAAACTGGGCCAAAGTCGAGTATTATTGCTTTCATCTGTGTGAGCATTTTTTTTTTTAAGATTGTCGATTTTTCGATTTCCTGAAAATTTTGTCTTCCGTATTTTTCAATTTCTCGATTTTTAATCAGTTTTTCGATTTTACATTCTGTTTTTTTCAATTTTCCAATTTTTAAATTTTTCGGTTTTTCAATGTTTCTTTTTTTTTCAAATTACAATTTTGTAATTGTTTCATTTTTAAATTTGCCGATTTTTAATTTTTCACTTTTTTCATATAATTATTAGGGTTTTTATTATTCAATTTTTGGCTTTTCTTTTTCCGATTTTTTAGTTTCTGTATTTTTTCAATTCTTCGATTTTTCTATTTCCATGTTTCTTTTTTACAATTTATTAATTTTTTAGTTTTCCGGTTTTCATTTTAAAATTTTTGAATTTTGAAGTTTTTTTGTATTGTTGATTGTTTAATTTATAGAAGTTTTTGTTTTTCTTTTTTTCAATTTTTCACATTCTCAATTTTTAATTAATCAGGGTTTTCAGGTTTCAATATTACAATTTTACGATTTTACAGTTTCTATATTTTTCTCAGTTGTTCCATTTTTTAATTGTTTTTTCGCTACCCAATTTTCCGTTTGCCAATTTTTTCAATTTTTCTATATTTCAAGTTTGGTTTTTCAATTTTTGATTTTCAATTTTTCCATTTTTTATTTATTTACTTTTTTTCAAATTTATTATTCAATTTTTGGCTTTTCCTTTTTCCGATTTTTCAGTTTCTCTATTTTTTCGATTCTTCGATTTCTCAACTTCTAAATTTTTCGGTTTTTCAGCGTTTCGTCTTTTCGATGTCACAATTTTTCAATTTTTTCATGTTTCTTTCTTACAATTTCTTAATTTTTTAGTTTTCCGGTTTTCATTTTAAAATTTTTGAATTTTGATTTTTTTTTTATTTTTGATTGTTTAATTAATAGAAGTTTTTGTTTTTCGTTTTTTCAATTTTCCACTTCCTCGATTTTTAATTAATCAGGGTTTTCAGGTTTCACTATTACAATATTTCGATTTTTCAATTTTTAAATTTTTCGGTTTTTTCAAGTTCTTATTTTTTCAATTCTTCGATTTTTCAGTTCAATTCAAAATTTTGGTTTGAATAAATTTGTCTTTTGTTGAACAATTAAAAATTGAAACCTCGAAAAAATGAAAAATTAAAAATCGAGAATTTGAAAAATTTTATATCAAAAAATTGCAGAATTGCTTCGTTTTGTCGATTTTTCCATTTCTCGATTTTTAATTAATCAGGATTTTCAGGTTTCCATACTACAATTTTTCAAATTTTTCAATTGTTTTTTGATTATCCACTTGTTCAATTTCCCATTTTTTCATTTTTCGATTTTCAATTTTTTATTCTCATTTTTTCGGTTTTTTCAATTTGTCTTTATTTTTTCAATTCTTCGACTTCTCAACTTTTAAATTTTTTGATTTTTCAATTTTATAATTTTTAGACGTTTCAATGTTACAATTTTCTGATTTTTAAATTTTTCAAAATTTCGGTTTGTTTAAATTTGTCCTTTTGTTGAACAATTAAAAAATGAAAAATAGAGAATTTGAAAGATATACCGAAAAATTGCAGAATTGTTGCGTTTTTCTTTTATTTTTTCGTTTTTCCAATTTTTCAATTACCAATTTTGAGCATTTTTTTTAAGATCTTTGAAGTTTTTAAGAATCTTAGCTTTTCGATTTTAGGAATTTTTAGATTTGATAGTTTCTCATTTTTTCGATTTACAGTTTTTCGATGTTTATTTTGACTTCTTCAACTTTTGAATTTTACAATTTGGTGATTTTTCGATTTCCTGAAAATTTTGTTTTCCGTATTTTTCTATTTCTCGATTTCTAATCAGTTTTTCGATTTTACATTCTGTTTTTTCAATTTTCCAATTTTTAAATTCTTCGGTTCTTCAATGTTTCTTTTTGGATTTTTCAGTTTTTAATTTTTTGATTTTTCGAATTTTGAGTTTTACAACTTTCCGATTTTTTGATTTTTTTAAATTTTACTTTTAATAAGTTTGTCCTTTTGTTGAAAAGTTAAAAAATGAAAAATTAAAAATAAAGTACTTCCAAGTATGTAATTCCAGGTTGTTTCGTTTCTTCGATTTTTTATTTTCTCAATTCGAGATTTTTAAATTTTTGTTTTTTTTATTGTGAATGTTTCGATTTTTTAATTTGCAGATATTTTAATCTTGCGAATTTCCAAGTTGCCTTTTAATTTTTAGATTTTCCATCTTTTTAGAATTTTTCGTTTTTTCGATTTTTCAATTTCTCAATTTTTAATTATCACTTTTTCAGGTTTCACTGTTACAAATTTTCGATTTTACGTTTTCATTTTTTTTTTTCAAATTAACAATTTTGTAATTGTTTCATTTTTAAATTTCCCGGTTTTTAGTTTTTCACTTTTTGTACATAATTATTATTAGGATTTTTTTTCAAATGTACAATTCCTGGCTTTTCAATTACCCGATTTTTCAGTATCTTTGATTTCTCGGATTTTTCGGTTTTTCAGTGTTTCGTCTTCGTCGATGTTACAGTTTTTCAATTTTTCCATGTTTTGAATTTTGAATTTTTTTCTGGATTTTTGTTTAATTTATAGAAGTTTTTGTTTTTCGTTTTTTCAATTATTCACTTTCTCGATTTTTAATTAATCAGGGTTTTCAGGTTTCAATATTACAATTTTTCGATTTTACAGTTTCTATATTTTTCTCAGTTGTTCCATTTTTTAATTGTTTTTTCGCTACCCAATTTTCAGTTTGCCAATTTTTTCAATTTTTCGATATTTCAAGTTTGGTTTTTCGATTTTTGATTTTCAATTTATCATTTCTTCAATTTTTCCATTTTTTTTTTCAAATTTACAATTTTGTAATTGTTTCATTTTTAAATGTGCCGATTTTTAATTTTTCACTTTTTTCATATAATTATTAGGGTTTTTATTATTCAATTTTTGGCTTTTCCATTTTCCGATTTTTTAGTTTCTGTATTTTTTCAATTCTTCGATTTCTCAATTTTTCCATGTTTCTTTTTTACAATTTCTTAATTTTTCAGTTTTCCGGTTTTCATTTTAAAATTTTTGAATTATGAATTTTTTTGTGTTGTTGATTGTTTAATTTATAGAAGTTTTTGTTTTTCGTTTTTTCAATTTTTCACATTCTCAATCTTTAATTAATCAGGGTTTTCAGGTTTCAATATTACAATTTTTCAATTTTACAGTTTCTATATTTTTCTCAGTTGTTCCATTTTTTAATTGTTTTTTCGCTACCCAATTTTCAGTTTGCCAATTTTTTCAATTTTTCGATATTTAAAGTTTGGTTTTTTCAATTTTTGATTTACAATTTTTCCATTTTTTATTTATTCACTTTTTTTTCAAATTTATTATCCAATTTTTGGCTTTTCCTTTTTCCGATTTTTCAGTTTCTCTATTTTTTCAATTCTTCGATTTCTCAACTTTTAGATTTTTCGGTTTTTCAGCGTTTTGTCTTTTCGATGTTACAATTTTGCAATTTTTCCATGTTTCTTTCTTACAATTTCTTAATTTTTTAATTTTCCGGTTTTCATTTTAAAATTTTTGAATTTTGATTTTTTTTTTTTAATTTTTGATTGTTTAATTTATAGAAGTTTTTGTTTTTCGTTTATTCAATTTTCCACTTCCTCGATTTTTCAATTTTTAAATTTTTCGGTTTTTTCAAGTTCTTATTTTTTCAATTCTTCGATTTTTCAATTTTTTGATTTTTCAGTTCAATTCAAAATTTCGGTTTAAATAAATTTGTCTTTTGTTGAACAATTAAAAAATGAAAAGTCGAGAAAATGAAACATTAAAAATCGAGAATTTGAAAAATTTTATATCGAAAAATTGCAGAATTACTTCGTTTTGTCGATTTTTCCATTTCTCGATTTTTTAATTAATCAGGATTTTCAGGTTTCCATACTACAATTTTTCGATTTTTCAATTGTTTTTTGATTATCCACTTGTTCAATTTCCCATTTTTTCATTTTTCGATTTTCAATTTTTGATTCTCATTTTTTCGGTTTTTTAAATTTTTCTTTATTTTTTCAATTCTTCGATTTCTCAACTTTTAAATTTTTCAAAATTTCGGTTTGAATAAATTTGTCCTTTTGTTGAACAATTAAAAAATGAAAAATCGAGAATTTGAAAAATATATCGAAAAATTGCAGAATTGTTGCGTTTTTCTTTTATTTTTTCGTTTTTCCAATTTTTCAATGACCAATTTTGAGCATTTTTTTTAGGATCTTTGAAGTTTTTAAGAATCTTAGCTTTTCGATTTTAGGAATTTTTAGATGACAGTTTCTCATTTTTTCGATTTACAGTTTTTCGATGTTTATTTTGACATTCTTCAACTTTTGAATTTTACAATTTGTCGATTTTTCGATTTCCTGAAAATTTTGTTTTCCGTATTTTTCTATTTCTCGATTTTCAATCAGTTTCTCGATTTTACATTCTGTTTTTTCAATTTTCCAATTTTTAAATTGTTCGGTTTTTCAATGTTTCTTTTTGGATTTTTCAATTTTTAATTTGTTGATTTTTCAAATTTTGAGTTTTACAATTTTCCGATTTTTTGATTTTTTTAAATTTTACTCTTAATAAGTTTGTCCTTTTGTTGAAAAATTAAAAATAAAGTATTTCCAAGTATGTTTTTTATGTTTCCGTTTTTTCGTTTCTTCGATTTTTTAGTTTTTCGATTTTCATTATGATTTTTATTTTTCAATTAAATTTTTGTATGTTCCGATTTTTTAATTTGCAGATATTTTAATCTTGCGATTTTCCATTTTTTTTCATTTCTTCAATTTTTCCAGTTTTATTTTTTTTTTTTTTTCAAATTTACAATTTTGTAATTGTTTCATTTTTAAATTTGCCGATTTTTAA